AGGCGCCCGCCACAACACCCAGCTATTTTTTGGTTGCAGCCATCATTGTTGTTTGGCGGGCCCGGGCTGGATTCGAACGCACCACCTTAGGTATATGTGGCTGGTGCTTTAGCCACTTGAGCCAAGTTCTTGGCGCCGAGCCAAGAACTTCAAAAAAAAAATGTTGGTAAGAGAAAAGAGCCACTTAGAGTCGTGATGATTGAGAGATTAAGGTATAAATGATGTATTGCTCCTTTTAGTCTGTAGTTTTTGTCAAGTGATATTTTAACATTTTTAAAAAGCTTCAGTATTTCATATGTTAACACTGATAATTTTAATTGAATTGTCTTGGTTTAATTATTTGTTTTTTCCATAATAAGTATAAATAAGATTGAATTAAGCCTGCTAAACCTAATTAGGCCAATACATTGCCTTATTTCATCCCTAAATGATGAAAATAATTTGAAATATCTTTTTTCTTATGTTTCAGGCCTTTCTATGGTTATCATGAGAAGGAAAGACACTTCATGAAGATCTATCTTTACAATCCTGCAATGGTGAAAAGGTACAAAGATAAATGAAACCAATATGAATAACTATCACTTACATATTTTAGTAATAAAAAGAAAAATGTAGAAGAAAGACATGTATAGTTTGTAGCATTATTAAAGAAAAATATCATAAAGTACAAATTTATGTGTACAGAGAGAGATTCATGGCTTGGATTCTAGGAAGGATACATATATATATATGTATGTATATATATATTTTTTAATTGAGACAGAGTTTCACTTTGTTACTCTCAGTGGTGTCATAGCTCAACAGCAACCTTAAACTCTTGGGCTCAAGTGATCCTCTTGCCTCTGCCTTCCTAGTAGCTGGGACTATAGGTACCCGCCATAATGCCTGGCTATTGTTGTTGTTGTTGTTGTTTAGCAGGCTGGGGCTGGGTTCAAACCCACCAGCCCCAGAGGATGTGACTGGCATCCTAACCACAGAGCTACAGGCACCCCCTAGGAGGGAAATTTTAAATGTGGAGGCCCCCAACTGCTTCTCTCCTGTCTTAGATTTAGAGTTTATAGAACTAGGTATAGGAGATGGTGGCTGCCATGCATGTTCTTAGGGCCCCATTGGCCAGATGAGATGTTAAATACTAAGAGAAACTTGGTCTTCAGTTTTACTTGTCTGTTAAGTGATCCTCCTGCTTCAGCCTCCTGAGTAGCGACTACAGGACCTGCTACAATGCCTGGCTAGTCTTTCTGTTTTTAGTAGAGAGGGGGTCTCATTCTTGCTTTGGTTGGTCCCGAACTCCTAAGCTGAAGCAATCTACCCACCTCAGCCTCCCAGAGTGTTACGATTACAGGCATGAGCCACCACAACAACCCTATTCTTCAGTTTTAAAATGAGGAGAAGTGTCTGAGAGTGGGACCAGAATGAGAGGGCTTCTGAGATCTCAGAATCCTCTTCGACTCAGTACTAGATGTTAGTGAAATTTTATAACCTGGGTTTTTTGTTTGTTTTGGTTGTTTTTTCATTCCTTCAAGCAGTTGCTTTCCCTTTAGTTTATTTTCAGAATTACCCTGGAGCCGAGGTTATTGAAGGTGGGTGGGAAGGACACGTATATGGAAGATTTTAATCAAACTTTAAGATTCAAAACAAGGATTTTTACTGTATGTAGTGACAAGCTAGACTAAAAGTGGCCTTGGGGGAATGCTGAGGATTATTTTTCAGGAGGTCCTTTCTACCAGGAATTACTGGGTTCCAGAAAGTAACATTTTGGTAAAACACAAATTGGATGTTTCTCCATATTGAGTTAAGGCATAGTTACCAAGACTTAAAGTTTAGTCTGGATTAAACAAGTTAGCACTTCAGCACTTCACTGATTCTCAGCTCTAATCCCATTGGTTATTCCCTTCTAAGAGTAACCAGTGAAAACTAGTTTTCCTATAGCCAGCCTCTGTCAGGACCTTACCCCAAATAACTTCTGTTATATAAGGTCCCAAAACAATATTCCAGAATTGGCACTTATAGAGAGTGATATTTCTTTTAGCAGTTCCCCTCTACTCATACTTTCTCATATTCATAGAATACAAAAGAGCAATTCGTGTGGGCTCTTAGCCTCTCTCACATGTATAAATTGGTAAGACATAAACTTCTGTTATTTTTTCTTTTCTCAAGTTGTTCTGGAGTAGGAGCCATGATTAAAAGTTACATAAGTCTTTTCTAAATAACCTTTAAACTGTAATTCTACTTAAAGTATAAATATAATCCATTTTTCCTTACACTTGTAGCAATCAGACATTTATTAAGCTATTCTCAATAAGTTTAAATTATAAAGTCAGCTATGACAGTGTCTAAAATCCCTGATTTATTAATGAATTCATTTATTCATTTTAATAAATATTTATAAAGTGCCTACAATATTTGATGCTTTGCGGAAGTTGGAGAGTAGATATGGTGAGCAAAGTTTGATGGTTCTTGCCCTGAGGAAACTTACAGCAAGTAGAAGAGACAGACCATGAACAAGAAACTGAAACATAAAAACAAAAATTGTCATACCTGCTAGGAAGAAAAAGAATGGGAGTTGGAATGAAAAAAATATATATATTTTCTCCTTTTTTGTTATTTTTTATTATATGGTTATACATCAATCATTTGCATTATAATATTTAACTAATACTTAGTGTAGTGATTAAGAGCCTAGGCTCTGAAACCAGATTGCCTGTATTCACATCTGGCTCTGCTCCTTTCAGGTAGGTGATTTTAGTCAAGATATTTAATCTCTCTGTGCCTTAGCTTCCTCATCTTTAAATAGGATTGCTGCTTGTACATGTTGTTCTAATGATTAAATGTGTCGATATCTGTAAATCACTTAGAATAGTGCTTGGCATGTTGTAAGTGCTGTGTTATTATAAGTTTTGGCTATAGTATACATATAAAACCTCAAAGTGAAACTTCAGGACGTCCTCTTTACTCTTCACTCTTCCCTAGAGACATCACTTCAAGGGTTTGGTATCTGTTCTTACATTTTTATACATACATAGGTACACATATTCATCCACATATTCTCTTTTTAAATTTTTCATAAAAAGTTGGTATTACACTAGGATGTAAGTTCAATAATAGCAAAGATTTTTGATTACTGTGTTCACTGCTTTATTACTAGAGCTTGCAATAGTGCCTGGGACATAGTAGTGGTATATAACTATTTTTTTAATTAATGATTGAACACTATACAGATCATTTGAGGACTGGCCTCTTGATTCCTCTACTTACTTATATCCTGTGATCTTTACTTCCATTCTTATTAAACTACCTACTCAATTGACTACAGCCTAGAACTTGTCCTACCTCAGAGATTTTAAGTGCAAATATCTTGGTTTCTGGCTATAATCTTCTGTCTTTCTTCAAACAATTTTTTGAGGGATAATTTACACAACACAAAATTCACATATTGTTAAGTGTGTACAGTTAAAGGATTTTTAGTAACTTTACTGAGTTGTACACGTATTGCTATAATTCAGCTTTATAGCCTTTTCATGGCTTCAGTGGCTTCAAAAGATCTTTTATGTCTGGTTTTTATTTTTCTTAAATCTTTTTAACTCTGTCTCTGTTACCCCACTCGACCTGTTTTTAGACTTCAAACTCCTTGGCCCCAGTACTACTGCCTGTTTGGTTTTTTTTGTTTTTGTTTTTTAATTTCTCATTCCTTTCCTTCTTACATCCCTTTTTTTTTTATTTCTTTTGGAGACAGAGTCTCATTTTGTCGCCGTCAGTAGAGTGCCATGACATCACAACTTACCACAACCTCTAGCTCTTGGGCTTAGGTGATTCTCTTGCCTCAGCCTCCCAAGTGGCTGGGACTACAAGTGCCTGCTACAATACCCGGCTATTTTTTGTTGTTGTTGTTGAAGTTTGGCAAGGGCCAGGTTGGAACCTGCCACCCTCAGTATATGGGGCCAGCACCCTACTCACTGAGCCACAGGCACCACCCATTATATCCCATTTTTTATCAGCCCTTCTGTATGCCAGGTAAAACTATCAATTCTGAGTTAATCTATTTATATTTCTTTCTACTGAGCCCTAGTTTATGATTCCTGCAAGGTAAAAACAAGCACAGATTAGGACCACTGTAAATTTATGGTCTTCAACTTTTCCTGGGCCCTGCCCTGCCCATCTGACTTCTCCTTTCAGGGATGTCCAGCCTTTTTCCTTTTCTGCCACACAAGAGTTGTCTTGTACTACACATTAAATACACAAACACTAACAAAAGCTGATGAGCATGATATCTGATACCACAGATAAGCAAATTAGTCCCCAAATAATCTGCATGCAGCCCATGGACCATAGGATGGACACCCTTGGATCAGTTAATTATACTTAAATGTTAAGCTCCTACTGAGGTCTTGCCTTCTGACTTTATAGACAAAATGGAACCCATCATCCTAGAACAATTTTTTCAAAATATGAACTGGGGATTTCTGAAGCTCTTTCAGGGGGTCTGTATGGTCAAAATTACCCATATTCTAAGATCTGATTTGCCTTTTTCACCATGTTCACCAATAGTGGGTTAAATGTAATGACATGAAATCATTGCATTTTCCACCAATAAGCTTTCACCACTAAAAAAAAAAGAAAAAGAAAAAAACAGTTTTATTGGCAAAAAAATTAATTTTTTTGAATCTTGATTCTTGGGTATATATCTTTGTAATATGTGACAAAATGAAAATAAGCATGAAGCACATCTGTGTGCTGAAGTACTATGATTATCTCAAGGAAAGACCCACTTACATAGTTGCTTTTAATTGCAAGCTGAACTAGCACCTTTTTCTTTTAAATGGAACACCATTTTTACTTGAATAACTGATAAATTTCTATGGACTTGTGTATTTGGTAGATACATTCTTGAAAATGAACAAAGTGAGGCTGTTGGTTTAAGGAAAACAACTGATAGTATTTTGTTGGCAATGATAAAATTTGAGCTATCAAGCAAAACTAGATTTTGGAAAACTTTATTTGCTGTGAACTTAAAAACTTTCCAGGACATAAATAGTTTTCTAAGATAGATGATGTCAACGAAGATGATTTTCATATTGTTTAGTGAACATTTAAACTATCTGTATAACTCAGTGGATCTATATTTTATTTTATTTTTTTTTTTTTTGGAGACAGAGTCTCACTCTGTTGCCCAGGCTAAAGTGCCATGGTATCAGCCTAGCTCAAAGTAACCTCAAACTCTTGGGCTCAAGCAATCCTTCTGCCTCAGCCTCCCTAGTAGCTGGGACTATAGGTACCCACCACAACACCCAGCTATTTTTTCTATTTTCTAGTAGAGACAGGGATTTCACTCTTGCTTAGGCTGATCTTGAACTTCTGAGCTCAAGCAATCCTCCTGGCCTAAGAGCCCAGAGTGCTAGGATTATAGGTGTGAGCTACAGCACCCAGCCAGAATCTATATTTTCTTAAATGATCATGCGTGGATAAAAAATATTCAGAGTGCAAGGTAGACCAATAAATTTTAATGTAATAGAATATAAAAAACTTATTAATTTGCATTAATTAGTTGATGCTAAGAAACCATATTTTGCTGCTACATTGAAATTCAACAAGTTGTCCTTTAAGAAACTACTACTTGTTGAGTTTTAGTGTAGTAGCAGAGAATATTGGCATTTGTTTGAAAAGGCTGCTAAATTCCTCCTCCTTTTCCCAACTACATATGTAAGGCTGGATTTTCTTCATATGCTTCACCTCAAGCAATACATACATATATATATATATATACACACACATATATAGGAACAAATAGAGCAGAAGCAAATATGATATATATGCAAACATGTGAAACAATGATCTTTTCTCACTAAGTTGTTTTTACTTTGGAAAATATAGGGTTTTTTTTAATTAAGCATGTTATTTATGTTAACGTATAATGAGTTTGTTTTAAAATCAGTAACTCTCTTAAAAATTTTTGTTGCATTTTTCTAATATGGTACGTATCAATAAATATAAACCACATAAACAAAAGCTTTTTAGTATTCTCCATAATTTTTTAGGAATGAAAAGGGGTCCTGGGATCAAAAAATTTGAAAGCTAGTAGAATAAAGCTCTCTTAGTTTATCAAAGGCAATCCACCTTCTGTGACCTTTTCAAGGATCTCTTCTATCTACCAATTATGTCCATCTTCCTTGCTGACACCATTTAAATATTAATAAGACCCACACATATTCATGTTCATAGACACAGCATTCTCTCTTCTAGCCATTCTCCTTCAAGGATTTACCTATACTTTATGTAACTAATTTTCTTACTCCCCATTCACTTTTTAACTTACTGCAATATTCTTTTTTTTTGTTGAGACAGAGCCTCAAGCTGTCCCCCTGGGTGGAGTGCTGTGGCATCACAGCTCACAGCAACCTCCAACTCCTGGGATCAGGCAAGTCTCCTGCCTCAGCCTCCCAAGTAGCTGGGACCACAGGTGCCCGCCACGACGCCTGGCTATTTTTTGGTTGCAGCCGTCATTGTTGTTTTTGGTGGGCCTGGGCTGGATTCGAACCCGCCACCTTAGGTGTATGTGACTGGCGCCTTAGCCACTTGAGCCACAGGTGCTGAGCCCCCAATATGACTTCTACCCCAACTATTCTACTTGAAGTTGCTTTCAACTAATAACCTTTGTTGCTTAGTCCAGTTTTTGTCCTTACCTTTTGACCTAATGGCAATGTTTATGATGCCTGAAAGCAATCTTAAATGTTGGCTTCTGTGATATAAATCTCGTTTTGTCTTCCTCACACTCATCCGATTATTTGTATTTCTGCCATTTTATTGGATCCTCTTTTATCATCTATGATTGTTTCTTAGATTTCCATGTTAGACTTTCATCTTTTCCTTCAGGAGTGACCAATATTTTTCTTCCTCTGTTGCACACTGGAAGAAGAGTTGTCTTGGGCCACACATTAAATAAACACCAGTGAAAGCTGATTAGCAAAAAGAAAAGGAGATCTGGGCATACTTTTCATGGTATCCAACACCACAGATAAGCAGAAAACATCCTTACAAAATCAGCATGAACCACAGGTTGGATACCGCTGCCTATACTTTCTCCTGTCTCTACAGCCTTACCTATTCCCATGTTGTGTTGTGTTTGCTATTCACTTGACCCAGTAAACCCCACAAAGTCATCCAAGTCAAGAGGCTCAAATCTTTGTGTTCACTAAGAACACATGTGAAATTGCCCAGGCCATCAAGGTATACATATATGAAAAGCCATCATGTATCTGAAGGATGTCATTTTAAAGAAACAGTGTGTACCATTCTGACATTAACAATGATGGAGTTGGTAGGTATGCCAAGGCCAAACTTAGTAGGGCTGGACACCAGGTCAGTGGCCGAAAAAAGAGTGCTGAGTTTTTGCTGCACATGTTTAAAAATGCAGACTAATGCTGAACTTACGGGTTTAGATGTATATTCTCTGGTTATTGAGCATATCCAAATGAATAAAGCACCCAAGATGCATCACCGAACTTACAGAGCTCATGGTCGCATTAATCCATACATGTGCTCCCTGTGCCACATGAAGATGATCCTTACTGAAAAGGAACAGATTGTTCCCAAACCAGAAGAGGGGGTAGCACAGAAGAAACTGAAGAAATAAAATCTTACGGCACGGGAATAGATGCAACATAAAATAAATATAAATAACAGTAAAAAAAAAAAATGAGTAAGTACTCACAAGTCAGAAAATTTTATTTGGATCCTCTACATTTTATGTGTGAGTTTTGACAACTTCTAAAATCTCTGTAAGACTTAATTTCTTTATTTGCCAAATGGGGATGATAGGAACATAGGATTGTAGTGAAGATTACTTGAAATTAAGCATTTAAAGCAGTTAGCACAGTATAGAGTGTTTAAATACATTCCCTGCCTCTGCTGTGTTAAAAAGATTATTCTTATCCTCATTTTTACTATCATTCATTTCCAACAGTATCATAGAAATCTTCCTGGATACTCCTATATATATGTAAACTCCAGAATGTGTATATATATAAGGATAAAGCTGAGTTTATCCTTGTTCTCCCTCTAAAAATCTCCAAAGCAAGCTCTTTTTCTTATAACCTTTCCTATTTCAATAAAGTAGCACCACCATCTAGCTACTTAAGCAAGAAATTTAGGCAGTAATCCTCAACTTCTGTTCTACATCACTCTCCATATCTAGTCATCAAGGCCTAACCGTTTTGTCCCTTAAATATCTCCCAAATCAGTAAATTTCTATGATCCTTGTTACAGCTACCATCATCTTAGTTTTTCTACAATAGTCTCTTCACTCCCTACCTGTAGTCTTGGGCATTCTCTGGCAATCTAGTCATATGACCTTCCTGCTAGTCACTTCTCAGGCAAATTCCACTGCCCTTCAGATGTCTTAATAGGCAAGCTCCAGATGATGTGATTTCTCATTAATTCTCTGGCCCCTCCCCTCACCACAGCCTCTAACACTAGGTTACAGTCTTAACTGTGTATTCAGTTTCTGAATAAGCTGTGTTTTCTCATGACTCTTTACATGTGCAGTTTTATTTACATAAAATACTCTTTCCTCTCTTCAGAGAAGTACCTCTAGTCTATCATTTAGTCTCCTATTTAGTCCTCCAAGAAGGCTTACAGAAACTACTTCTGCACCTCTATCTGATTCTAGATGTTTAATGTACTTCCTTGCATAGTACTTATTATGCTATGTGTAATTGTCTATAGTTTATATTCCCCTTTATGGAGGGGAAAAAAACTCAAGAAAGAAAAAAATTTTAAATGGTAACAGTTGCTCTGAGTGAGGTTTACTTGTTACCTTTTCCCAATTTCTGTAATTTTTTTACTTTGTTTTCTTTCATAATATATACTAATTGTGTGATAATATTTCTGTAATTCTTAAAAGAAAAATCTTATATTTTAAAAACCTTTCTTAACATTTCGATGTTTTGTTTTAAAGTTTTGTCATTCAGGACATGCTACTTACTGTAAAACTTAATTTAAAGTTTTAATTACTAACAAAATACAAATTTCCACTAAAATGGAAATTAAATTTAGTGTGCTAATAAGTGTTTTCTTCTCTATAGTTATATAATTATTGTTTCATTTAACATTTTAGGGAAAATAATTTTAGATATACCTTTTTTTCTAATTTAGGATATGTGAACTTTTGCAAAGTGGAGCCATAATGAATAAATTTTACCAGCCTCATGAAGCGCATATTCCCTACCTCCTACAACTCTTCATTGACTACAATCTGTATGGAATGAATTTAATAAATCTGGCTGCTGTCAAGTTCCGAAAGGCAAGAAGGAAAAGTAAGGTTAATTTTTAAGTTCAAATTAAGCTTTGAAATCAGTGTAATATAATTGATGATTTATAAAATAATCTCTAATCTCTGTTTGCATATGATCCTTTTAATTCTTTATTCATAAAGCACTTATTTTCTAAATATATATTATCAGGAAAAACATCTCAGAAAAAACTTTGGGATTGAGAACACCTTTGTTTTTTTGAGAACAACTTTATTGAAATTGTAATTTACATATTATTTACTCATTTAAATAGGAAAATTTGATGACTTTTAGTAAACAATGCTCCTATCAACATTCAGGTACAAGTCTGTATTTTCATTTCTCTTGATCTGAAACCTAGGAGTAAGAATTTCTGGGTCAGTGTTAGAATGTCTTTGCCTTTTATTCACATTGGATTCCTTCTTTTGTACTTCTCTTAAAATAAAATGAAACTAATATTTTTCTTCCAACCCTCATATCTTTTCTAGCTACCATTATCTTATTTTTTTCTTTACTGCTTGAACTTCTTGAACCAGAGGTCAGCATTTTTTTTTTTTTGGTCTCTTAGTTTACCACTTTTCTTTTTGATTTAATTCCTTTCCTTTCTTCTACCGTGTCCAAACTGCAGTCTGTTAAGGTCACAAAAAAGGATGTTTTATTTCTCTGAATAAAGGGCTAGGTTGTTGGGATCATTGTTTCTGATTAAAACAATTTAAAGCAGCGGTTCTCAACTGTGGCTCATGACCCCTTTGGACTGTATTAAAGGGTTGTGGCATTAGCAAGTTTGAGAACCACTGATTTAAAGGCAATGTGAAATTGAAAAAAATATATATGAAATATATCAGAGAGTTTACCAACAATAAAGAAGTATGGACCAAAAGGGAATAGAGTGTTGAAAGCAACCTTTGCCCTAATAGTGTTTACTAATCCTGGAAAATTTAGAATCTTCTTTGAGACAGCCTTACCCAGTGAGAAGAAACAGAAAGCAAAACCTAGGATCTTTCTGGCAGGTCTGAAACCTCCACAGGGTAAGGTAGGTCCTCAAATAGATAATGCCCTTCAGTTGAGCACAAACTGGGAAGTGGTACATCTTTGAGATAGTTCTTCAGTCTTGTTTGAATTCCTTTGGCCTAGAAGAGATTCCCAAATCTAAAACTTGATCTGAGGTGATACTAATCTGGCAATACAGTCAGGTCTGGCAGGAAAAACAAATGAAAATATTCCCTAGGGGAATTTCTATAGGTCTCAAATTGTACCTAAAAGTAAAATTTCAAGTATAATATGTTCAGCTCACAGTCTAGAATATAGCAGTCACACAAGAAGACTATTCACATCCATGAATAGACCTAGCAAACACAGATATACCCTCGACCTGCAGAAAATTCAGATAATAGAATTAGATACAAATTGAAAAACTGTAATTCAGAATCTTTATCAAATAATCATGCTATTTGCAATGCTCTATTCTACAATGTTGTATTCACTAACAGTTTTGTTTGGTCTCTCCAACATGCTAGTAATATCCTTATGTGGAAAAATTTAGATGCAATAGAAGTTTTTTTAAAAAGAAAATGTTTTGTGGTGACAACTTCTTAAATATTAGATTTTTATTTTAAATACACAAAGATTGAAGCATTGAGATCAGCATGTTCTCCTTTTTAAGTAGACAAAAGTAATTCTATTTGTTTATAACTAATTCTTCTAGATAATAACCTCAGGTTTAGATAATAACTGGTGATGTGCTAAATGCTAATCTTTCTTAACTCCTTAATATCTTAGAATAGTTTTAAATTCCCACAGCAAAACAAATTGTGTGAATGAATAGCTCTCCCTTGGTCCTTAGGATCCCCAAGAAGGAAATTATCTAATGAAGGATAAGGTAAGGCTTGGTCTTTTCTCCATAGAGAAAGAGACTGAGAAGGAAAGGAAGGAAGAGTGAAGATAAATTCAAAACTGAGAAGTGTTCGCTGCCTAACATTTATCCTACAGGGATTGTAGCCTCCTAGTTACCCACCCAGCTACCCCAATCTTTGGGAAGCTTGTATTATTTCATGTGTAGGAGTTACTACTTTTTTTACAGTATAGGTATTTTTAAGGGTAAAGAACTAAGGGATCCCATTACAAAGTTTTCAGACTTACTGTAAACTGCAGTAATCAAGACAGCATGGTTCTTGTGAAAGGATAGACCAGGGGTCCTCAAACTTTTTAAACAGGGGGCCAGTTCACTGTCCCTCAGATGTTGGAGGGCCAGATGCGGGCCCTGGGACGAGTTGGCTGCTAAGCAGGACAGGCAGCAGCGGCAAAAACACCCAGTGGGCCAGGTAAATGTCCTAGGCGGACCACATGTGGTTTGAGGATGCCTGGGATAGACATATATATCAATGGGATGGAGTCCAGAAATACACCTATCATGTATTTGAAATGGGGCATAATTCATCTATATAGGCAACTTAACTTTGACAAAGGTATAATAGTAATTCAATGGAGAAAAGACAGTTTTTACAGCAATATTACTGGAATAATTGGATGTTTATATACTACAAAATAAAAATAAAAGAACCTGCGTGGCACCTGTGGCTCAATGGGTAGGGCCCCAGCTCCATATATTGAGGATGGCAGGTTCGAACCCAGCCTTGGCCAAACTGCAACAAAAAAAAAATCCAGGCATTGTGGCAGGCACCTGTGGTCCCAGATATTCAGGAGGCTGAGGCAAGAAAATTGCCTAAACCAAGCAGTTGGAGGTTGCTGTGAGCTATAACAGCATGACACTCTACTGAGGACGATAAAGTGAGACTCTATCTCTTTAAAAAAAAAAAAAGTTAAAGAACCTGGACATATGCCTCAAGCCTTAAATTAAAAATTAACTTAAGGCTGGGCACAGTGGCTCACACCTGTAATCCTAGCATTCTGGGAGGTTGAGGCAGGTGGATTGCTTGAGAACAGCCTGAGCAAAAGTGAGACCCTGTCTCTATTAAAAATAGAAAAACTGAGGCAAGAGGATCACCTGAGCCCAAGTTGGAGGTTGCTGTGAACTTTGACACTACGTCATTCTACCCAGGGCGACAGCTTGAGACTCTGTCTCCAAAAAATACATAAAATTAAAATACTTAACAGACTTAAGTGTAAAATGTATAACTATTACACTTCCAGCAGAAAGTGAAGGGAAAATCTTGGATTTGGCAATGAGGTTTTAAATATAACACCAAAAACATGACCCTTGAAAAGAAAAAAATGATAAGTTGGATTTTGTCAAAATTAAAAACTTCTGCCTTGTGAAAATACTGTTAAAAGAAGGAAAAGGCAAGTCACAAACCAGAAGAGAATACTAGCAAATTATATAATAAATCTTGTATCTAAAATATATATAGGAATTCTTAAAAATCAATAATAAGAAAGCAAACAATTATCAAAAGACCTGAATAAACACTTCACTAAAGAAGAAAATGTAAGGACAGCAAACACATGAAAAGATAATATTCAGTATTATATGTCACTAGGGAAATGCAAATTAAAACCACAAAGAGCTACCACCATACAGGTGTTAGTGGGGCTAAAATTTTAAATATAGACCTACAATGTGACCCAGTGATTATACTCCTAAATGTATTTACCTAAGTAAAACCTAAGTCCACCCAAACCTTTACAAAAATTTGTATAGCAACTTTATTCATAATTGCTAAAAATGTAAAGCAACTGAGATTAGAAAAACTGTGATACTATTCTTTGCTAAAAAGGATAAGCTGTTGATTCGTACAACATGAGTGAATCTTTAAAGCATTTTATTGAATGAAAGAAGCCAGACTCAAAAGGCCACAAACTGTGTGACTTCATTCTTAATAACATTCTGGAAAAGGCAAAAATATAGCAATGGAAAACAGATTATTGATTTCCAAGGACTAGGACAGAGGAGAGTATTGACATCAAAGGAGATAATCACAGTATTTAAAGGAATTATTCTGTACAGTTCTGGGTTGGTAGATGATTATACATTCATCAGACCCATAGAACTGTACTTTACTAACCTTAACCAACTAATAAAGCTTAACATCACCAATGATGTCATGTGGATATCGTGGTTCCCCTCATAGGATATGATGATAAGAGCACTTCACCTCTGCGATAGTCTTTCCAAAAACCCATAACCTAGTCTCATCATGAAGAAAAACATCAGATGAGCCCAGGTTGGAGGGCAAATAAAAACCATGATTTAGATAAAAGTAATCTTCCAGTGTCAATTTCATTGTTTTGACAAATACAACGTGGTAATATAAAATGTTAAGTATGAGGGAAACCAGGTGACCCATATATGTGAACTCCTTGTACTATCCTTGTAACTTTTCTGTAAATCTAAAATGATTTCAAAATAAAAATGTTATTGGGGAAAAAATAACAGGTCATCACTGTCAAGTATAGCTGAGAGTTTAAAAAGGAGTGAAAAATGGAAAAATGGTCTGGAGAATGTTTAGTAGGAAGAGATCATTTTTACAAAGGTTTCTTTCTAAGAGGTGAAAAGGCACAAGAATAGTTAGAATTTGCAAATATATATAAACTACTTATGTATAAAAGTTACATTGTTAGAATGGCAATTAGGGGCTGGGCAGGATGGGTCACACCTGCAATCCCAGCACTCTGGGAGGCTGAGGTAAGTGGATTGGTTGAGATCAGGAGTTCAAGACCAGCCTGTGCAAGAGTGAGACCTTGTCTCTAAAAAAATATGTGGGCGTTATGGCGGGTGCCTGTAGTCCCAGCTACTTGGAAAGCTGAGGCAAGAGGATCCCTTGAGCCTAAGATTTTGAGTTTGCTATGACGCCATGGCACTCTACCAAGGGTGACAAAGTGACACTCTGTTTCAAAAAAAAGAATGACAATTACAGATTATTTTTCTAAATATGGAAAGTTTTTATAAATTATAGGATGAAACTCTATACTGAAATTATAGAAGGTATAGGTCAGTAATTTCTTGTGTTTTATTTTGTCATTTATCTCAAACTGACAATAAAGTTCTTGTGGTAAATAAATGTTTGTGTGGCCAGGCTTGGTGTCATGCTCCTGTAGTCTCAGCTATTTGGGAGGCTGAGACAGGAGGTCACTGGAGCCCAGTTTGAGACCAGCCTAGGCAATATAGCAAAAGCTCTATCAAAAGAAAAACATAATATATTTCTTATAAGACAAGTTAATGTAATACATAATGTTACTGGAATCTTACTTTTGAAAGTGAAATACATTAAAAAATGAAAAAGATCTTGCAAATTTTGATATTATATACATACAATTTTGTCTTAATCAGCTATCAAATGAAATGGTGATAATTACTATAGATGTTAAAGTGTATAAAAATGTAATACTTAAATGGAGCAAATAATTTGAGCACCACAAATTAATTATGTGTTTTAACATTTACAGTTAAAAAGAAATTATATGTATATATAATATATATTATAAACATACAAGGGCTTCCAGAAAGTATCCAGCCATGTATTTTTTTTTTTTTTTTTT